AGCATATACAAACACCTGGTTTATTGAGATGCATGAGGACAAACATCACTAATAATGTTATTTACAACTACAATATTTCATTGTAATTTATTTTCACAAAATCCAACTACACACGTTAATGTTGGTTTGCAGAAGTCCAAACTAATAATAACTGAAGCTTTCATGTTTATTACAGAGTACACTGTTTCCTTTTTGTAATGTTAAATGTTAAAGCAAGAATCAAATCGAAAGTAGCGCTAAAAATATCACTTCATATTTATCAAGAGCCTTATTTTACAACGTTTTACAACTTAAGACTTGAGTAAATGTAATTTGTAAACGGAATTATTTTAAATTTTCGTCTAACATAAATATAAAACAGTGAATGTAATGTGGTCTAAGTGCAGCTCTATGAAATCACTGTCATCATCATCATCACACAATCTTTTTTTTTTTCTTCTCTCTGCAGTTCTTGTGCTTGAAGAACATTAGAACTTTTCTGAATTGTTGCTGTGACGTTTTTGGGATGAAGAAAAGTGATTTATTTGAGGCTTTTGACCTCTTTGATGTTCGAGACTTTGGAAAGGTACGTCAAACATTCTTCATTCTACTTTTCTGCCACTGCTTTGTTTATTTCTTGTACGACAAGCTCAGTTTAGTTCAAACTATTCATTTCACCTCGCATTTCTTTATCATGCCACAGTGATTTATAAAAATCTGCCTTTTTTATGTGTTTTAAATTTTACCTGTAGTTCTCACCACATTTTAAAGGTATTCTGAAGGTACACATTGTTGGTGGTATTGCTTTCTGGCTTTGTGTTGTGATTGTTTCTCCTAAAAAATCTTATCATAGACAAATAAAAACAAAAAAGGACAGAATACAATAAAAACCTTTACTTCAGTCATATTTTAGGGCAGAAATAATTAACCGGTGGTCTGCGGGCGACATCTGCAGGAGACTTTAGTCTGGCTCGCCAATGAACCCCTCTAAATCCTAAATATTTTCAGTTAACTTAAAAGAAATATAAATTTTAAACCAATTGTAAACTTAAAACTACTACAAAAAAACAAATGAATAAAAGGTAAAGATAATAATACTTGTCTTGTTACACTCGGAAGTGTTTAACCTACCATTAATGGGCAATGTCCCCCAACCTATCATTAAAGATGTCCGGCCCTTGAGCTGTTGGCTTTGAGTAACTGTGACCCCCTGATTAATGAAGTTGAAAAGCCCTGTGTTAGGGGACACAGTCCAACTGTCATAACTAAATCTGTAAAGAAAGAACAACTCAGACCAGAATAAGACATTGTTTTCCTCTAAAAGTTAAATTTGAGGAAGCAGAAGCACATCTTCATAATGTGAGCAGTATTTACCAGCAGTAATTCGGCAGTTATAGATTATATTTGCCGTGAAGAAACTATAAAATATAGAGATGAATTTACATGTCTTTTTTATAGTGTTTCAGATTTATTTTTGTATAAAGCCAACCAGAGGTGTGATTGTTTTAAAACCATTCAGTAGCTTTCATTGTCTGCCCTTTAATTCTCATGGTTTTCTTTCCGAAAGCTATCGTTGAAACTGATTTCAATGTGTGTACGTACAAAGCGTGGCCTGGTCAGTGGGTTTGGAGTGCTTTCTGCCATGCTAATCTGCAGCTCACAGCACAGGAGTTACACTTCACTCACTTTCACTTGGAGCAGCCTTGTTTCCAGAGTTTACATAGTTAGCACATCTACAACTTTCTCTCAGATCATAAGCAATTGGAGACAATCCACTGAGAGATACTATAATTATTTAACATTTGTTGTTAATTATGGCAAAAATTATGTCAAATCATTTTCATTTAGTGCAGAAAACAGTCAGAGAGAAGTGTTTGATAACTCGCAGTGAACCATGTGTGCCTTTCTACGGCAGACTCTTTTCTATCACTTGAGTTTGTTGTGTTCTAAAGAAGCTTCCAGTTAATCTGGCTGCTGCCGATAATCCCACAGAGGAGGTGCTGCCTGCAAATATGTACCGTACATCCAAGCCAGGCTGCATAATCTCAGTCATGTTCAAGGGTTATCCACCAAACAAACACAATTCTGGAGGGAAAAGATTGCACTTCATCATGAAAGCATGGTGTGTGCAGGTTGGACTGGGTGATTGGGTTGGATTGTCCCCAAGAAGGCTTGTAGAGCTGAAAAGGAAATGATCAGTCTCTTCCTTGTTTTGAACTAACATTTATAGGGGAACATCTTAAATCTCAGCCAGTCTAATCCACTTGGGGTTGAGTTGTGCCAACTTTGCTCGTAGACTCAGCATTAGTCTGCTGAATATCTAATGAGAGCTCCCTCTTCTGCTGAGTTCCTACATATTTCACTGCAGGCTAACTTTATGACTACAAACAGCAGCCTGCTGGCAAAAAATGTAAAGTAAGCAACTATTTGTGCCATGTTAAAAAAAACCTTCAATGCTTTTTGTAAACAAAATGTTCATTGATATATTTTAAGTGGTCCGAACCACTTAGCCATCGTGCTGTGTTTATTTAGTCAATAAATCGAAGTAGTATTAGCAGTTTCTTTGTTTAGCTCAGCATGAACCATTGAAAAGACAGTCTTTCATTGAAAGATGTGTATAAAGTGCTTGAAAAAAAAAACTAAGTAAAAGTAAAAATACCTTAACAGAAAAGGACTTGGGGAAAAATGAATTTCACTGGTTAAAGTACTTAAGTAAAAGTAAAAAAAAAACTGCTCACAACCAGGAAAATACAAGTAAAAGTACTTTTACACACACACTAAACATGAAGTCTTGAATTTACTCAACCAAGTTATGCCAACTGGTTCCACTAAACCGAGATGAGTAAATTCAACATTTCATTTTTTTAGAACGCCTAAACAACTTGTTTCATGATGAGTTCTGGTCATATTTAAATTTGTAGCGAAATGAGGTGTTCAGTTTTAAAGTAAAACAGTAAAAGTATCCTTTTTACGTTATGAATGTAAGAAAATAAAAGTAAAAGTTACTATTAGAAAAAAACTGTAAATTTACAAATTCTCAAAAAAGTAAATGTATACACCTCTACTTATTGATCTTATATATTTTTTGTGCTATTTGAATCAGAAGCAGGCTGTTATATAT